TAGTATTAACATACATGATAGAATTATGTAGACACATACCATTTTGCAAAATTCGGAAAACAATAAATCAAATATACAAGTCGTAATGAAGACGCTGTGGCAATCCACACTTCGTCCAGTTCATTTGCAATCGCGACGCCCATTAAAATTGCACAACGTTCCACGCTAACTTTGTTTTTAGATGTGTCCGTTGCTACACCGTAATTCTAAACAAAATCATAAAATGTGGTCAACAATACATAATATGTATTGCTGTAATGTAATAATTAATTGTTTAATATTATGTACAAGTGATCTGGTAATAAAATGCTACTTCTCGTGGATAAGTAAAGCGAATTAAACTGAATGAAAAAGTCTCTTGCAATTGTTTCGCAATTTTTCCATCATTACCCTGGTGAAAATTTTTCTCATAATTTTTATACGAATTGGAACATTTTTCAGAAATACTCATAAATATTCGGAAAGTTTACATCCTCTCTCAGAACTTCTCAAGTGAATTCTAAAATCTTTTGAAATTTCTGATCTCATAATTTTTAAAAAATATTTTAAAATTTTTTAGGTTTTGTAACATTTCAGAAATTATACTTACAAAAAATCTTAAAAATCTTACTAATATTTCATAATTAACATATGTGAAAAATTCTGAGGAAAAATGTAGATTTTCTGAGAAATGTTCCAATTCGTATAAAAAAATGTGAAAAAGTTATAAAATTATAGAAAAATTCTGAAAAATTATATAGAAATTTTTAAAAATTATATGAAAAATTCTAAAAAAATTTTCACCAGAATAATAAGAAATTAATTAATAAAAATCTACAAATGAGTTTTTATATAAAAAAAAGGTATAAATAAAGTTGTATTTTACACACTTAATACCTTTCTGTATCACTATTACGCAATTATATAATATTTTCATGTCTCATGCCATAAATTTTCTACAAACATCTGGATACAGATAAGCATTTTTATAACACGTACCTGGCCAGATTTCTCCGTGAAACTCTTGGCTAGAAATTCGGTTTGTACCGGACCCGGGCAAACCATTGTCACACTAATATTATTATCAGGATGTTCCAAGAACAACGGTCTGAAATAACCCTATAAAAATTTATAGTAAAGCATTTTAAGCGAAGTTGCGAATAATTTTTTTCAACGAAAAAAGATGATATCTTAAAACTGTTTACATGTAAGGCATGTTTAGTGGCGCAGTAGGTCGCCGACATCGGTGCAGGTACAATTCCTGCTAAACTTGAGGAATTGACGATTTGACCTTCGCCTACTTTCAAAAAGTGTTTTATTGCTATTCTGCTCAAGGATAAGATGGAGAATACATTCAAGTTGAACATTTCTTTATCAACTGCTATCTCGATGTTTTCCCATTTTGCTCTTTGACTACGGCCAGCATTGTTGACGAGTATGTCTAACTAAATATAGAAACACATCCTTGGTAAAATTTTTTTACAAATTTTTCAGAATTTTTCTCTAAATTTCTGAATAATTTTATACAAAATTTCTCAGATTTTTTAATACAAATGAAAATGAAACACTTTTCAAGAATGTTCCAATTTGTATAATTGTCTTGAGCTCTCTGGCGGAAAACTTTGTTGAAATTTTATTGAAAATGATATTTTAGCGAAATTTTTGAGAACTTGTTACAATTTTGCTGCAAGTGAATTTTTCAGCAAAAATACTGAAAAATTTCATTTTCATTTGATTAAATTAAATTGCTATATTATTTATTTGATTTTTTCTCAGTGTAAGAATTCTAAAATATTTGTATTTCTAAGATTTCTCATTCTATAATTTCTGATGAAATCTTATAAAATAAGAAATCTTAGAACATTTCAATATTCATGTATATGAAAAATTCTAAGAAAAGATGTAGGCTTTCTAAGTATTTCTGAAAAGTATTTGTACAAAAATTTTCAGGAAAATTTTCATCAGAGATAACAAGATTTTCGATTAAAACATATCGGTAATAAATAATAATAAGAGTAATAAATATAACAGAGGCATGCAATAGAATTTTAATTAAAAGATTGATGATTTTTATTAACATAAAAAATATAGTATGCTAAAATTGCTAAATCTACCTTGCCGAATTTATTGATTACATGTTCGAATGCTTTCTCGTGCGAGTCCAAATCAAGCACATCCATAGGATAAACTTCCACATCATTGTCAGTTAAGTTTCTATTCTCTGCAAAGGAACATTTATGAAAAAAAAGGCCCTGCGCACAATAGAAGGAATAAGGAATTAGAAATAAAGAATAAACCATTTTAACCTATCAGAAGTGAGATACATAGGAGTTTCACACTGTTTCTGATAAGTTGAAATCGTTTATTCTTTATTCCTTATTCCTTCTATTGTGCGCAGAACCAAAGTGGATAACAATGGGCGCATTCAAGATAGGGTAAAAACATGTTTTAAACGTGTTTCAAATAGTTTAAAACATGCTTAATTGATGTTTTTAATATGTTTTAAATATGTTTTTTTTATAGTACTGTTTAAAGCATATTTGAAGCATTAAAAACATATTTAGAAAAAACACAATACATTTTATTCTTAAAAAAAACATTAGTCTTTACTAACTCTGATTCAAGTTGACAAAGCGGCTAGCCTGTCCGCCGAGCAAATGAGCATAATTGATTGTTACTTATAGATCCAACCAATCACATTCAATCGCTCGATAAGCATGTTTAGCCACTTTGCCATCTTGAACTCGCCCAATAGTAGTGAGTTAACGACATTAACTTAATGTGATTCTATTTAGAATCGAAAGAGATCATATCAATTAATTAAAACAGTCGACGAAAATCATTAACATAGCGGAAAGATCTTTTACAGAAGTGTGCGAGACGCGAATATCTACCTTCCAAACACGTTTTCTTCACTTGTTCTAATTCAGCGATTCTCCGAGCGGACAAGATTAACTTGCAGCCCGCTTTGGCTAACACGTAAGCTAAATGTTCTCCGATGCCGGCAGATGCACCTGTTATCCATACTGTCTTGCCTTTCAATGAAGCTATGATAACGAAAATATGTTCGTTTATTCATATTCTTTGAATGATTTATAATTTGTGACAGATTTCAGGAGAACTCTTGTAATAAAAAAAAATAGACAAAAAATTAAATTATACAATAATAATATAATAAAAATTACAATAATTTTTATTTTTATAATATTAATATTTTATAATATTAATATTGTACATTTTTAATTAGAATTAGATTATTGAATAAATAATGATATAAAGATTCTCTTCAATCCAGTGATACACAAAAATTTATTTAAGAAACAAACAAAACTAACATTCAATTATATATTATCTTTACAGCCTATTTTGCATTCCGACAGTTTTTTTTCTATAAATAGAGATAACATTGTTGGATGTTTCATGTTTATTTATTTATTAACAAATTGTATGTAAATTTTTATTTACTGGACTGAAAATTTTCATAGATAAACAAATAGATTTTGCTCGTATCTATGCGATTTTACTTGTGACTGACGAAAAGTTGATTGAAGAAAATTCTTTGCTATTTTTTAGGATTGTGCAAAAAATATACTTACATACGGATTTGCCGTACTTTTCTTTAAAAGCGAGCAGTATGTCGCAATCCAAGAAAGAGGGAAGAATGAGATAGACGGAATAGTAGACTACGATTAAGAGTCCGATAATTACGAATAAATCCATATTTAATTAACACTTATCTATGGTGATATGAAAATACTTCTGTAAAAAAATTTACATTGTTATCAAACTTATACATATGAATACGTGTACATTTTGTTTTCTTATGTAATTTCGGTTTTATAAATTTTTATGTCTTTCTTTTACAATTTCTTTCATTATTTATAAAAAAATCGGGATTTAAAGATTTGAAAATGTTTTGGATTAAATATTGGAGAAGAAAAAGAATAATTCTTTTACTTTATTTTAAAATTATAGAACTTTGTGATCTTTTTATTCATTTTTCCTTAATTTTTATTTAATAAATAATTCTTTTTCAAATGAAGAGCAAAAAAAAATTAATTACGTAAATCACATTTTTTATTTCCATTGAAATTAATATAATTATACAATTTACGTTACTATTTCAAAAAAACAGGTAACAAAATAACGAGATAGACACATCTTCTAATTTCTGAAGAGAAGAAATCAGCATTAAATTAAATATAGACAAGCTGGAGTCATTATTGGATTCACTGGATTTTGAGGTTTTAGCAATAAAAGATTGGTGTTGCAACTATTCACGAAACATGATCATCAATTACATCACAGGTGCAAATTGAATCTTCGTGACATACTTAATTACAGGCAGTGCGATTATCGTAAGACTTGTTTTCATATAATTATAACCAGGGTTGGCAAAAGTAATGCGTTATTTGTTATGATTATTTTTTTTTTTTTTTAGTAACGTTTTGAGTAACGACGTTATTTTCTTCTAAATAACGTTCATGGTAACGCAGTTAAATTTTTGGGATAATGGTAAATTTTTGGGATTTCACTAATTACTTTTATCATAAAAATTATTTTACTATTTACGTAAAAATTTTAATCATAACTAGAGCGTATATACAGTGAGTGCAAAATGTATTCATACAGAGAAAATATTTTTTAAAAGAACTTTATTTTTAAAAAATAAATATTATCGAGCAAGAAATAGTCAAAGTCATCGAATTGATGTTAACATCGATACGATAATTTAAATACCATTTGACCTCGATTCGATGTTTAATTGATCATCATTTCTTGCTGTTATTAATTATTATTAATTAATTGTTATTAATTAACAATTTATTCATAAAGAATAAAATAGACTGTATGTTTCTTAAAATTATATATATATATATATACTAAAAAGATATGTATTAATTATAAAATTATAATAAATATAAATAAATATTTCTAGTAAGTATTTTTTATTTGTATTATAATATTTTATTAAGTATTTTCATAACATTTATTACAACATTTACAATAAATATTTCAGAATATTTATAATACATATTTATGATGACATCTATCACAAAAATATTTAAAACAAATCTTATAAATATTTACAAATATTTTGTGAATATTTTATTAATATTGTTGTATGGGATTTAAAAAATGATGTCTGGGATTTAAAAAAAAAATCTTCCCAGATAAAAAAACATGTTGCATAAGATATCTAAAAAACGTGTTTTAAATACTTTGTGCAATATAAATGTTATCTAGGTTGTTATTAAACTTTCTTTTTCTTTTCAGTGAAACCGGTGTTATTCCGTAAGTTCAAGTAGTGCTGTGTGACAGATTATACAACAACACGTTCGGCAAATATGATAATATTTATTTATATATTTTTTTATTTTTTATTTTTTGTATCTCAAATACTTATTTTTCGTGACTTATTTTTCTCCTTCGATATTTTTTAAGTGATAGCATGTGATAAAAAAATTATTTCAAGAAAGGTTATCGTAACGTGCTCGTTAATATATCTCTTTCTCTCTCTTTCAGATTCAAGAGATCTTTTAAATCAAAAGCAAAACTGAATACATATTCAAATACATTACTGTATTTTTTTTTTATTTCTAAACAAAGATTCCATTCATTGTAAAGAACCTCTAATCAGAGTCGCACCATGAAACAATTTCAGCCGATTTTTTTGTATGCAGAGTAGAAATTTTAACAAAATCGATAACAGAGAGAGAAATATATTAGTAATCTTAACGCGGCGTATATTTAATTATATTATACATATTAAATATTATTGAGATGATATTATCAAGATAATTTAATTGTTATACATCTTTTTAGATAAAATAATTTTGAGAAATATACAACCTATTTTTATTCTTTGTTAATAAATTAACGTTTATTTTCTAAAAAAAATCTTATTTTTTTTTTAAATATCTCTTTTGCATTCATTAATGTTTGTAAGTCTTATGTTTTTAAACATTATTTTACTATAAGATAAGATAAATACAAACTTAGAAAAAATACATTGACCTAACTGTCAATAATTCATTTGCAAATATTAACGAATACAGTCGTAAAAAAATTTAATATAGAAATGCGTATCGTTATTAAGTCTATCTTCTCTTCAACGTAGAAAGAAAAGGAGGAGAGACGAATTATTTATAAGCGCATGCATATACAGATAAACCACATCCAGACAAATTGCATCATACGAAGAAATGATAAATTATCGTCATATCGTCGCAAGAATTTTTTCGAATAAATGCTTGTTAGTCAGCATTCTAGTGACATTTTGCCATAAAGAAACTAAAGGAAGTCCAACGTACAAAGAAAGGAGGAAAACGATCACTTTCAATGTCACTCAAAAGGAAAAGAATAAAGAAGAAACGTTAAACTGAAACCACAGAAAACAAATTAGAGAGATCATCATTTTCACTATGAAATCGCATAATGTGGAACACAAAGTGCTGCCGGTTTGCGCCGGTTCGCACTGTCGTCATATGTTCGCTCTTTAACTCCGTCTGAAGAACTCCAAAAAAAAAAGCATCTGCCTGTGGAACTTCTTTTTTTTCGCGTGAGAATGGCCCTGAGCACAAGAATTGTCGTAATACTTACTTAGAGACTGAAGTTGTAGACGTAAGTAACGCACAAGCTTTGGCGTGTGACGTACAATTTATTGCCATCTCTTGGAGACAAGTTGTATTGACTTACGTCTACAATTTAAATTTAAGTAAATGTTACGATTTACAATTCTTGCGCTCAGACTCTAACACAGAGTCGATACGGCCAGGATCGAAAATGCCGCTTATGCGAGTAGTACGTTGAGTAACAAAAAAAACAATATACAGAAAGTCTAAAAGAATAACATAAACTCAATTGCGCGTTTGAAGCCGGTCACACTTTCCAAAAATGATAACGTGAAACGTAATAATACGTCTGATGTTCTGATCACATTGGTAGACTCACCTAACTGCCTGAAAGGAACCAATGATGTGAATTCCAAGAGAGCATAAGAAGATACATACACTACAATAAGTCTATATCCGTGTACACTTGCGCATGCGTTGTATATCCATCTATGCCCTCTTCATGCTATTAACCGTGCTCCAACCATGCGGGTGTGGAGTTCACATCACTTGTGTGCGAACTCCAAACAAAGACTGGGTCCCCGGATCGATCACGCAGAAACGTGAGCAGAAGACGATTTGGATGATGATGCTCGAAGAATGTGCCGGGAATGAACGAGCAACTTCAAAATATATAGATACGAATCCCTTCCAAGTATATTGAAAAAAAGAGATTTAAAATTTATTAAAATTTGTGCAAATTTTCATAAACTTTAAATCTGACTTGTATAATCTCTAATTTTTACTGCAGATTACAGAAAATAGAATTTTATTTTATTTTTAAATAAACTATTTAATTCTATATAGTAATTTTATACG